GGATAATTCAGGCTGGAAGGGACCTCAGGAGGTCTCTAGTCCAGCCTCCTGCTCAAAGCGAGGCTGGACCAAGTTATTCAGAGCTTTATCCAGTTGGGACTAGAAAACCTCTGATGGCGGAGACTTGCACAACCTCTCTGGGTAATCTGTGCCTCTGTCTTACTGTCCTCGTGGTTGACAAGTTCTTCCTTATATCTAGTGTGAGCCTCCACTTTTTCAGCTTACACCTACTCTCCCTTGCCCTGCAACTATGCACCACCGAACAGCCTTGCTTCTGTTTTCTTGAGGACTACTTTGTAAGTATTAGAAGGCTGTTGCTAGATCCTCCTGAAGCAGTGTTCTCCAGGCTGAACAAGCCCAGGTCCTGCAGCTTCAATTTGTAGGGTAGGTGCATCAGCCCCTGACTGGCTTGTTGGCTGTCTGCTGATCTTGCTGCAGTTTGTCCCTTTCATGCATTGGGGATTCCAAAACTGGATGCAGTGTTCTAGTCAGTTATAGGTTGCAAAGAGTGATTACATGAGGATATAAAAGTCCTTTTTTTTTTTTTTTCCTTTTTCTCATTTTTTAATATGCCCTGAATGTTAACCAAAAGCTGTAGGGAATTTACAGTTACCTGCAGCCCAGTAGATTTAACTGTGTCTTTCTGTCATGGGCTGTTTCTCTGATTTGTTATTTTCTTCCATCTTTCCTAGGAGACCCGAGTTCATGGGCTTGTTATCCCTGTGGGATATGGTGCGATTGGTGAACATGTTAATTGTGTTCAGGTTTCTGCGGATTATTCCTAATATGAAGGTGTTTGTTTATCCCTCCACACTTCTGATTTCTTTGTTGGTCAAATTATAAATTTTGTTAAAGCCTTTTTAGACTAACATCTAGTAGATTGCAATTCTCTTGCACCTGAGTGGGATTATAACTCAGCTCTGACTGTCCATACTATTGCACAGCACCTCACAAACTCACTGTCTCTTTAGATGGTTTTCTCTGTTGAGGTGGCAGGGAAGGGGAAGTTCTGTTGATGTCACTGCAATTGATGCTGGTATTCTAAAGTGGGCAAATGCATCCAGAAACTCTTGTGCAACTTGTGTAGTGTTTCAGCCTTAATTAGATGAGTGGATATGATATCCTTGAAGAACTTGGTACTCAGGAGGGATAGACTTGCTTTCACTGGATACTGCTAGACATTTTGGTCATACAAAGGATTATGTGGATGAATCCCTCTTTCCACTTTCCAGTTTCCACCAGAATACCTGTACTTGAATCTGAAATCACTTTGCGTTCTTTGATTGTTGGTTATAATCCTGCATTTAGACTTGCTTGAAAGCTAAGCCCAAATTAATGTCAGGTGCAGGGCTTGTATCTTAGTTCAATAAACCATAAATATCTGCCTGATGTAATCAGAGGTCATAATGTCAGTGGAAAGCGTAAACTAGAAACGATGTGGATCAAATATGAAGCAGTTCATCTGGAGCTGTGGGGCGCTTGTGATTTTTTTTATTATTATTAATTTTTTTTTTATTCCCCCCCAGTTCTGGTCTTACTAGGCATATAGCCCTTTAAGTCACAGCGCCAGTGTATATTTAAAACTTATCATAATGTCTGTGTATGAAAAGGACTACAGCATTGTTCATTCATCTTAAGTACCTCATGGAAATACCACTGTATAAAAGATGACCTGCATTTAGATATAGCTTACTTTCCTGGTTTGTATTTTTGTGCTTTTAGTAAAAATAATTTGATATGGATTGGAAGTGTGATGGATGTCATGCATGTAAAATTCTGCTTTATTTCAGTTCATGGCTTTGGTTGTTACTACATTGCTGGATCTGGTAAAAAACTTGAGAGCGTTTGCAGGAATCCTTGTGGTAAGTCATGATGCAAGACTGTAATTTCCTTTCTTATAGTTAGTGGTATAATAAGGGTATGTCTTCAACAAAGTCAACCAGGTTCTTTGAATGACAATCACCACTAACAGTAACACTTCACCTTAATCGGCCAGTTCTCCAAGGTGTGACTTGCAAAGCTGCAACAAACTACTGTTTTGTTATGGGCTGCACACAGTGACAGTGCCTCATTTATCAGTTTCCTTTAGGAGTGCCTTTAAAAGATTATTTAAAACTTCCTCAGAGTGCTTGCCTCAGGCTGGATACTCTAGTTTCAAATAAAAATTCATCTGATGCTAAAAGTAGCCCAGTTTTCCTTACCCTGGCTTGCTGATGTTAAAGTAAATAACAAAACAACTTTAAAATTGTTTTCAGTTGAGAAGGTCTTGAAGTGGCATGTTTGGACACGAATTTTAAGGCCTCTACCATCCTGTTTTAGGTGTGTCTGTGTAGAGCATATAGTCTGTGAACATGTGATTAAAGGATGGATCACAATGTGTCATGTCCTTTACATAAATCCTCCATTTCCCAACTCTTGAGTTTCTGGCTTTGCAATGATGTCTTTCTGGTACAGCAAATGAGTGCCTGGGTGGCTTTTTTTTGTTGTTGTTTGTGGTGTGGGTTTTTTTTTTTTTAAGGTACCTTAATTTGAGGTAATGGTTAGAGACCAAGGATTTGCTGTGTATTAGGTATTGTCTAAAAAGTCGTTCTAGTCTATATACTTAGCATGCAATTTAGCTAGAATATCTGGGTTTTGTCATTACTAATCTCCCCTTTTATCTGTAGGGGAGGGGCTGTAAGTTGCAGTCTGGAAAGGTTTATGTTGCAATTTGAAGTAAAAATACTGGTGTGGGCAAAGCTAAGTTGGTAACAACTTTGTTGTGCTGTACAAGTCACACTTGCCACTGGAAGCTACTCTTGAAACAGAAATACCTTGGGAGTGCACGAACTGGGAAGTTAGCTTTTGCAGGTGAAAGTACATCCTGGGAGCCTAAATGCCAATCTTGCATATGGTAGGAACAACTTTAGTATAATGAAAAACTTTTCATTACTCAACTCGTTACTCAATGTAATAAGCTGTCTAAAGGCTGACTGCAGTTTTGCTCATTTTTCCAGTTTGTGATTAAGTACATACACCATGCTCAAGGAGCACGTGTTTGCTTGTCACCCCTGTCAGAGGCTGGTAGGGTTGTGTTGTGGATAGGTGGGGGAGGCAGCGATTGACATTGCTGCTGCTGGATCTGACAGCCCATACGTCAGAGCCCTGGGAGAGCGCAATTATGGGGTGAGCTGTTTTGTGCTTTACACTAGGACCCCAAAGCTGTGTTGCTACTGGCATGGCTGCACCTGGGCTGTAGCATTCTGCTGGAAGCTCTTTTCATTCCCGAAAGACATAACTAAGATGGCAGGAGCCTGTAGTAATATACTTGATTTTATTTTTAGGAATTATGTGTTAGTGTTTGAATGCGGTGTCCCTACCCACATATGTAAGACATAACGCTCCTGAAGTGGTTTAAGTGTCTGCTGCTGATTGTCCTTAGTGCCAGGAGTGTGAATTGCGGTTTTGCACTAATGGTGAGGCAAGTCTGCCACAGTGTTTGCTACTTCCATGAATTTAATTTGCTTTTACTTCAGGCTACGTAGAAGCTGTCACTGAGCTTCTACCGTAGTGAAGTCTGACTCCGTTACCAGCTGATGCAAAATATCTTTCCTAATGTTAGCCTGGAACACGTGCTGATAAAGTAATGTAACTGATTAGCTAATTTATCAGGCAGTGCATGTTTTGGGCATATCTTTTTCAAAGAATAAAATTAACTTTATTGTTGCCAAGCCAGATACCCCATCTTCTGGCAGGCTGTGGAATGTCAGCTTCAGCTTATTCCAGTAGTGTTCAAAGTGCTGTGGTTCATAGGTCAGTCTCTCTTCTCCTCCTCCCAGACTTCCCTCTTGGGTCTGTTTTGTAGCAAAATACAGAAATATGACTAATGACATTTTCATTTGAAGACTCGGCTTGTTTCAAGCCATCCTAGGACAAATGGCTCTTTATGCAGAGGAGTGAAGTTGTAGGTTATTTCTAGGACAATCTTCTTAGGATGAAAATTGTAAAATCACCTAGGCAACTGCTGAAGACTGAAAGGTATCTCTTTAAAAGAAGGTCTGCATTTCTAACAAGTAAAAGACAGAAGTTCCAAAATCTTTTGTGTTATTGAATCCTTTATTTTTAGACTCATATAACACTTTTAAAGAGGTTGCTGGTGTAATATAAAATAGTGACTTGGTTTTGTCCTTCAGTTAGGTTTAGTAAAAGCCTATTTTCACTGAATCTAACAGAAAGCTCCCCAGATATTTAGATTATACCTTGTAAATACAGGCATTGTTTTTTGGTTTTTGTTTTTTAAGTCACTATTCTGCAGTGTTAATAGTTAAATTTCAGCATTCTGAGACACAGAAAAGTAAAACAGATCATAAAGTAAAATGATTTAATGGATTTTAACAACTGAAAGTTAAATAGAATATTAACAAGTAAGAGCAAACAGTTAAGTAATACAGACATTGAGAAGTATTTTCACTTTAATAGGTTCAGGCAAATTCCTTTAACTGTGGTATTAATATGAATTCCGTGTTAATTGCATTGTTTTCTTATTTTAGTGACAGAAATATTCAAAACTAATACTTATATTCCTTCCAGGTGGTTTTCTATGCATTTGCTATAACTGGCATAATGCTATTTCAAGGTGCTGTTGTTCCCTTGGGAAATACGAGGTAACATTCTAAACATCACTAGTCAGAAAGCATCTGTTTTTCAAAAGCATCTGCAACTCAGTACCTCTGAGTTGTTTGTGGTTGTGTTGTGTTGTCCCTCGTCGTCCGCCCGCACCCCCCCCCGTTCTTGGAACCACCCTTCTTTTAATATTAAATCACACAGACTTTTTTCATCTGTTACTCCTTCTGTTTCTTCTTGCTGTATTGAAATTGCAGGAACGCTTATCTGTACTTTGAAATTTTACCTTGCTGTGGCTTAAATACTTTTTTAACTATTTCCTTTGTTTTCTGCCCCTATGAGATACTTAGCTTTCTACAAGGCACTCAGAAGAATCTTGTTTTTAAGGTATAGTATGTAGAAAGCTATGCTCATATCAGCCTGTAATTCTCTTACAGTGCTGTCAATACAACATATGATAACGGCACTCTGCAGTGTGGGACCTACGAACAACTGGAATATTGGCCGAACAACTTTGATGACTTCGCTGTGAGTCTGATCAGTGATGGAATCTGTCCCTCTTTCACTCTCTGCTTATATCTTCCTCTCATTTTCTGAGGCTTGAATGTGTGATATAGTCACTCAACTTCTGTTTACTCATGTTATTTAGGCAGCAGTGGTGACCCTCTGGGATGTGATGGTGGTGAACAACTGGCAAGTCTTTTTGGAAGCGTTTTCAAGATATTCAAGTCCGTAAGTAGCAGTAATAATACTGGAAAAAGTCCCATATAAATCTATCTCATAAGGTAAATGAGTAGGCATCGGGAAGAGGAGTGCTGCTTACTTTTCCTTTGGGTCAATTCAGGTATATAGGAAATAAACAATACTTCATGGCAGTTCTTTAACTTGTGTAACTTGATGGTTGGTCACTAGACCAACCGACTTGGTGAATGCCACGAAATCATGGTCACGTTTAGAAGGGATTGGAAACTGGCTTGGTAGTTGTCTTGTTCCAAAAAAGAGTGGATGACCTAAGTGGATTGTAAACAGGCTTGCAACACGTATTGGGTGGGTGGCTTTGGCTCTACAGCGAATCTCACAGAACTGAGATATTAGTGAATCGCTGTAATTAATTTTGGGCTGCTTCTGTATTTTCCCTGTGGGTGAACAATTTTTTGTAGACTTAATACCTTGGACATATCTTTCATTTGTATTTAATTACTTTATGGGAATATTTGAATGAACTGGATAACCTCTGGGTTGAGCTGTTCCAGTGACCCTTAGCTGGTTAACCCAGCATGTAGTTAAGTTGCGGAATGCTCTTCTGTAGGCTGTTGTGTGTGATAAATGTTTAACGTGGTCTGGTGAAGACTGGACAAGTTGTGAAAGAGAAATCCATTGGGATCTGCAATGAATGGAAGCTACCTCTAGCTCAAGAAATCTCTGAACTGCAAATGGCTGGAGATTGGGAGAGCACTGGGGGGTAGCATCATAGGTATTTTGCCA